TGTGTGTGTGTGTGTGTGTGTGTGTGTGGTGTGTGGCTGGTTGACTGTACTCATGAAAGTGAGGCAGAAGGGCCTGCCATCACTAAAGTTGTTCTTTTTTAAATGGCCTTGAACTTAAATGCGTTTATTCCTATGCTTAACATTTTCAAAAGTGATCTTATTTTAGACCTAATTTTGCACTAACTCTAAACTAAAAAAGGCAGCAGTGAAGAAAAACTCTTCATCATATTATAGATGCTTCTTTCACTGTCTTTGTCCCCTTTTCCCTCTGTGTCCCCTGCTATCCTCATTTCCACACGTTGCTCTTCTCTCCAGGCCTGAATCTTAAATGAGTAACCTGAAACTACTTCCATGACTTCCTCTGCAACCCCTCTCACTGTTGCCCTCATATTTATGCATTGCATGAGAGTAATGGACTTTCGGTGGCGACTTTTGACTGGTGCTGTTTATTAACGACAAATAAATATTGACTCCTCTAGCCAACAAGGACCTTATCTCCTATTACACACAATAAACGGCTTGAATTATGAGAATTCAGCAACCGTGAGTTCTCAAAAACACGACAACCGACAAATGTATACTTATATTATCTCTCATATAATGCCAGATTCCCTATAGTATGGGTTATGGAGCGACACCGGAAAAAGCTAACTGGGATTGGCTGGAAGGACAAATAATTACAGAAAACAATAAATCAATATCTTTAAATTCATTATGGTAGTCCCCACCAAATCCAGTCTGAATAATCCATTAATTCAATGTTCTATCAGTGTGGTTAAATCTGTACAAAGGAGGCTAGGCATCACTGGTATTTCCCTCCCTGCATGCCCATTATGGGAAAAACCGAATATTCACAGCAGATAACCCATTGAATAATATACATATGCAAGCACATGACATACAACACATTGGGCAAATAGTAAAAAAACAATATCATAATTCCGTTCACAGTGTTGAACATTTTAATCTGAATAAATCCCTCTTCAAAGGTATAAAGATAGGTTGTTTATGAACACCTTGATATGAACCTAAAAAGACTTGCAAACAAGAAAGGAATGATTGCAGGTATATATAAACTTCTCCTCACCTCCGCCGCCAATACTAATCTGCAGACACAGAAAAGATGGGAGCAGGATTTAGAGCATCACCCTTACCCCAGTTGAGTGGGACAGAATCTGGTCGAAACTCAATCTCCAAGTGTGTCCGGTTTAGAGTAATACAGTTAAAAATCCTTCATAGAGCATTCAATCACACCCTGTAGACTCAAAAAAGATGGATCAAACACTCTCGGCTCGGGCCTATGCTGGCATGGTTGTGCGGAAGTGCGTACCCTTTTACATTGTCTTTGGTCCTGTCCGGCTGTAAAATCTCTAATGGGACCGTAGTTGGAGATACTCTCGCTGAGATTCTGAACATAGAGATACTCTTAACTCCAGCTACATGCTTGCTGGGATCCCCGCTCAATGGCATAACATCAACATTTGCAAGTAAACTTATAGCCCTAGCATGCCTTTCAACTAAACGCCTCGTTCTTATGAACTGGAAAGTCAGAAAGCCCAAACTGCTTCAATTTCAATAGATGGCTGGAGGACGTCCTAAACATCTTAAATATGGAAGACGCTGCTTTCTCCCTGTTATATTTGGTTAAGCCAGACAACAGGCTTTGGGATAAGATAAGGGCTTTCCCGAGGCCTGTACTACGAAGCCGGATTTTCGCTTAGCGAGCTAACTTCAGGGAAAACTCTGGGTTTCCGGTCCTACGACGCTGGTTCTCTTGTTAGCGGGCTAGATCTCCATGGTAACTTATGCTGAGCGGCTAACCTGGTCCGGAGCAGGTTAGGTTCCAGGATAAGAGATCAAATCAGCTGTGTGTGAGCCATGTCCTTGTCCGTATGTTTTTGTCTTTGAAAATGTTTAAATAAAATATAAATGTTAAAAAAAAAGACACGACAACCGGTTTGCAGGAGACACAGCAACTGCAGCAAATGCATTTTGTGTCTTATACTTCCATGTCCTCAGCAGTCTGTAGAGCCACTCATGTTATTCTCATTAACTTTGTGTGTTTGTAGCCTTAGCCTAATCATTATCTCTACATAAGAAGGCAGAGGCCTGAGGTTGTGTGACAGTTAGCATGCTATGTCATGATTAGAGGCTTGAAAACATACCTTAAGAGATGTATTAGACTTAAATGTGTGCTGAGAAGCCTGAATACAGTTGAGAAATGTCCCCTGTATCATGAACCACTTCTGACCCCTCTGTCCCTCCAGAGCTTCTTATTCTCTGTTTCCCTCGCTACATGCCAACTCTCTGAAGCAGAGCGGCCTTCAGTTATTTGCTGCAAAATCACAATTGGGGTGTTTGTTCAATTTATTATTGATTTGATTTTCTTTCTTTTCAAAACGTTCAACTGATAAATCTGATTCATTGAAGAAGCAGTTGTATTTTCACTAGGAATGACTACAGATGAATATCTTTGAAGAAAGGTGTTGTTTGGATTACGCTATAATGTAACAGGGCTCCTCCGGCTGTTGAAAAACCCTTGGAAAGTATTCAAAATTGAATTTCCTGTGTGTGACACCTCCTCCCGGGAGCTTTATCAGATCTCTAGTTATTTTCACCAAACAGAGAAGTTCTTGTATCACGGAATAAGCACTCACCTCATCAAGGCAAGGTTGAATTATGTTTTGTCCAACACGGTGACCCAGAGGCTCTGCTGTTACTACATCCCTTTTTGTTATATTTGGGCAGTGGCGATGTCTGCAGCTGACTTTGAGCAACAGTCTCTCTGTTCTAGTCATTCAATTCAGAGGCCTTTTACCTCTCAGTGTTCACATTATGCAACGGTCATTTAAACCAGTTGGCACAGATCTGGTCTTTTCAGCTTCAGCAGCTTCACCTGTTCACATATCACTGTTTTTGTCTTTCATTGATGTTGCTGTGGAGGAGTAACCTTTAAAATGCCCACAAAGGGTCAAAAGGTCATGGCCAAAATGAGCTGTCTTTGAAATGTGGCCTTTTATTCAAGAGACCTAAGATACAGTAACCGTCTGTCACTGTTGCTCTGAACACAGCGAGCAGTTGCCATTTAATAAAGGATGGGACTATTGATCAAAGTGTAAGCATCCTGCCCAGTGCACATACATCTAGGATCAGGTCGCAATTCAGTAACCCCTAATTGAAATATAGAAGTCAATAGTGATTTATCTAGAATTACCGACATCTAAAACACTTGCAAACCTTGAGTAAATAGTGTAGCTACAGAGGAGTTGAATAGGAAACCAATCGACAATCCAAAATATTCATGTGAAGTTATTTTAGATTTCTTTCTTTCAAACAACTAAATTCAAACAAAGTTCATTATGAACAGCAACTTCACCTGTCCACATATAGTATCATTACATCCACAGGACTTAGTTTAAACTGGTTTGATTTGAACCAATTTTATTTGTGTCTTTCACGAAGCAACATAAAAGATACACGAGGAGATTTGAAAATGTTTATACACCAACTCCCTTTTTTATTACTCAGTTTTGAGGAAATTCATTCATAATTGGTCTCTTTCGAGAGAACATCTGTCAAACTTAGTTGTGATTTGGGCGATGTAAAGAAAATCTACAAGAAACTGTTGTGACACGCTCCTTACACTTATTGTGTTTCTTCAACATGACTAATGAGACTTTAACTTAAAGGTCCCATGTCATGGCCATTTCTACTGATCATATTTCCATTGTTGAGGTCTACTAGAATAGATTTAAATTGTGCAATTTTCCAAACTCACATTGGTTTCTCATACAGCATCTCTGTATAGTATGTGTATTCACTCTCTGTCCTAAACGGCTTGTTGGAGCTCCTGCCCCCCCCTCCCTGTGAGCCCAGTGTGCTCTGATTGGTCGGGACGTTGCGAGGCTCGCTGCAGCTCGCCGCTGCTGCGAGGAGCGGACAGGTTTCCGGGTCGGCGATACAGCGAGAACAAGCAAAACTCATCCTGAGCACACACAAACACTCACAGCCGAAGTAAAAACAATAAGTGTGGCTTGATATTGAGTAAGAAAAAGGTTTATAACGCTGTGAGAATGGGTCTGCGGAGAGCATTTCTCCGCCATCCCAACTCGTCTATTACCAGCGTTCAGGGAGCTCTATGGAAGTCAATGGGGACTCCCTGTTAGTTAGCCAAGGGATCCTGGTGTGTGAGGTGCTCCGCGGATTGGTCCATTTGTTGTTGATCTGGGTGTTCACACGTCACAGAACCCAGGAAGAAAACTAATAATAAAAATCTCCAACGAGGCGTTCTGGGGCAGCATAGACAGGTCTTTTCTGTGTTAGAGTTTTACTCGCTACAGGGTGTATTTTGAGGGTTTTGACTCTGCAGACCGTTTACATGCAGAAAAACCTTCATAACACACAAGGGGACGGGTAATAACCGGGAAAGCATGACATGGGACCTTTAATGTAAATGTTCAATGTCAAATCCACTCTTGCTCCTAGATTGTAGGTTTTCGCTGGGGATGTGCATAGTCTATAATATTCTCATGGTTAGATTTTAAAGTACAATAGAACAGAAAACAAAATGTAATCTCTTTCTTGTGAAAATCCAAAGGTCTCATGTTTGTGATGTACGTTTGTCTGCCCTCTGGTCCAGCTTTGTTCAGGGGTTACATGGTGGATTAGAAGTGATTAAGATATGAAAGGAGCCATTGTCCTGGGTCTAAACGCTAGTCTGCACACTTGGGACCAGGAGGATGGAGAATGAGAGTTGGAGAGGGATGAAAGTGAGAGAAATTGTACAATTTGGGAAGGAGGCAACAAGCTTGGTGCAACAACAAAAAGTTACGGGTCAATAAGACAAAAAAATAGATTATGAGGATTCAGTGCCAAGGAAAGGAGAGTGTGGAGATCAGCTAAAGGATCAGAGGTAAAAGTAATCCACCCTTTAGATTGAAAAAGATTAGATGAAATACAAATGTGTGACAGTGAAAGCTTACCCATCTACAGGATAATACATGACGAAGGAAACAGCTTCTTATTGCTCCCTTCGAACACACTTTCTGTCTCAGTTCAACCTGTCTTTCTCTGTTTTCCAGTACCAGGTCGGCCAGCTGTACTCTGTGGCTGAGGCCAGTAAGAATGAGACGGGTGGAGGAGAAGGAGTGGAGGTGCTCAAAAATGAGCCCTACGAGAAAGATGGAGAAAAGGGACAGTACACACACAAAATCTACCATTTGCAGAGGTAAGCAAATTGTCCAAAAAGTTTCAAAGTTCACTCGGGAAGACTATTTAATCTCTCTAGAGCACATGTGTCAAACTCAAGGCCCGGGGGCCAAATCAGGCCCTTGGTGGATTTAATTTCGGCCCGCAGGATAATTTCTAATTACTATTAGATCTGGCCCTCCGGTATATTTCACGCACACCTTCACTCAATCCTGAGGATCTCCTCAGCTCAGAGCCTGAGCCCAAACATTGATGAACTTGCACCCAAGATGAGATGCCAAGTATCTGGCTTGAACTAGCATCACAGAGCAGCACACTGAGTTTAATGGATGTTTCCTTCTGCACTTTTTTTCTTGAGACAACAGGGCATGTTTGTTTTTTTCTTTGAGGGGAATAGTTTTTTTGAAGCTGTTGTTGGCCTGTGGAGAAATGTAATCATAAGAAATGACTCCGGAAAAGCTGCAGATAGAGCCATAAGAAATGAATGCAACTGATTATTTAATGTTTAATGTTGTTTTTATAGGCAATAATTTAAGCTGTGTTAGTTCCAGGTCAATATGTCATTCAATACGTTTTGCAATAAACATTGAACCAGTCCAGCCCTCGACTAGTACCCATTTTATAATGTTGGCCCACTGTGTATTTGAGTTTGACACCCCTGCTCTAGAGGCATCTCTTGGCCCCCATTCATTTAGACATTTCTCAGCTCCCCCAAGTTGACTCCAGGCTACTAAGCTTTTAAAGGAATAGTTGGACATTTTGGGAAATGCGTTTTTTTGCGTTTGAAGAAAAGGTTGTTACCACTTTATTCTGTTTACCAGCAGCAGCCAGGTTAGCTTAGCATTAGGACAGTAAGTTAAATGTTAACGTTAGCATGCTAACTACTACAATGACTTCTGCAGGTATAACGTTTACCATGTTCAACATCTAAGTTTAGCGTGTTAGCTGTGAATCACTATTTTAACACACAGCTGCAGTTGAACTATGCTTTGTACCTGCAAATCAATTCCTGATTCAGGTATTGTTCAATGAGTATACAAAACAATATATTTACCTTGATCTGTTCTCTCTGTCCCGCAGTAAAGTGCCGTCGTTCGTCAGAATGTTGGCTCCATCTTCAGCTCTCAACATCCACGAGAAAGCCTGGAACGCATACCCATACTGTCGCACAGGTAGCACACACTTCTGCCATTGCATCGCCCCAATTATTTAAAGTGGACCTATCATGCTATATTTGAATAATATAGTGTAGGACCATACCTATATAAGGCATATTTATACTTTTTTTTTTTCAAAATACCAAACAGATCATGCATTTTAGCCATGCCTCATTTTGCTCAATTTGAAAAATGTTAGCTCTGTTTTTGCAAGGGCAGATTCAGTGAGAACAGCACCATCTACAGGCCTGGCATATGTACTACAGCGTCTCCAGCGCTTTCGAACGGCAATGGCCGTGGCTGTCTCCTCCTGATTGGTGGAGTTGGCCCAATAGCCGTAGCGCCACCGTCCTGACGTCAGGACAGTGTTCAAATCTGGATCAGTTTTTATCAGATCCGTTGCAGCCCCTTTTTTAGAGATTTGGGTATGGAGGAAAATAGAGAGGGTTGTGTTTTCTGACACTTGGTGAGTTCCCTGGAACACCGGGGACACATATTCATGTATAAAAGACGTACAAAAGTGCATTTTGCATGATAGGTCCCCTTTAAATCTAGAGTGATTTTCAATACCACCATCCCCACGATATATACTGAAAGCTTACATTTTTGATATATTGGGGGTTTGAGTTCTGTCTTAATTAATTGACTTACTCATTGCAATATAATGTGTGAATACAGTTGATTTAAATAACTTAGAAGTCACATCAATGCTGAACTTTCTAAGGGATGTCGTTCTCCGGGTACCTCTGTGTCCTCTCACCTTAAAGGAGTAGTTGAATTATTAACTGCATGTCCAGTGAGAAGAGCCATGCAATCATTCGAGCCTTTCAGGCTGAGTTCACACACACACTAGCAGCTTTAAGACAGCCATCTTTCATACAAACACACATGACCTTCAAGGCACCAAGCACACACAATACTTACATTGCTGATGAATTTCCCTCGACCTCCGTAAATTATCCAATGCTATTATATTTCTCATATGTTCGTCCACTCAAATATTTTGTCTTTCTGTTTTTTCCTGTGCTTTCCTTCATCTGGCTCTGCAGTTATCACTGTAAGTATTTTTTCTTTACACTTACAGATATCAAGTATGTGGACACAAAGCGAACATTGAATCCTATAGAGGGAGCAAATGAACCTGAAAGTTGAGATAGAAATCTGATCCATGTCACTGACAGAGCAGCAGCAGGATCGTCAGACAGAGTGTCTGTGTTGCTTACATTACAGAATTACTGTTCCTTGTTACTCATGTGTGTTTCTCTTTTCTCTGCAGAACGAGTATATGAAAGAGAACTTCCTGATTAAGATTGAGACATGGCACAAACCGGACACGGGACATCTCGAAAATGTAATTATTAAAGACCATAATAAGCTTGATGGTGCATGCATGAGGAATTGTTATGGTGTTTTTTAAAAGACTTTCACAAGGCAAAGAAAAAATGCAAATGTTACACCACTAGTCCTTTTTAAAAATCATACTGTATCTCACACCTTGTATGGGAAGTTTTTAGTTTCTTATTCATTTCCTCTAATGCTAGAAGTTTAATAAAAACATGTCCCACTGCTTCAGTCTGTTTACTTGTCATCTAGTTAAAAATGTCTTTATGAATTCTTGTGCAGGATGTCCTGAAACAAGCCCCTAATTAAAGGTTACCATATTCATTTGGACAGTGCTCCTATGTTTAAATAAATATAATTATGTAAAAAAGAAAAGTGAGCCTGCAAAACTTCCAAATAGGAATCCACTAATGACCAGATAAATGTTTCGTACATGTATATTTTTACTTTCTACTCCTTATGGACTTTCGAAAAAATAAATTGTCTGTGCTTCTCTTTCAGGTTCATGGTTTGGATCCAGAAACCTGGAAGAAGGTGGATGTAGTCTATCTTGATATCGCTGACAGGACCCAAGTGGAGCCGAAGGTAAAACCTTTTGCTTAAATCCGACTTTTTGCGTCGCCTTCTTATCCATTTTGTTCATTTTAGTTGTTCTTGCATCTCTCTAGGACTACAAGCCAGAGGAGGATCCTTGTAGGTACAAGTCAGTGAAGACGGGACGAGGCCCTCTAGGACCCGACTGGAAGGTACAGCTTCTTGTTGTGACTTTATTAACTGAAAAAAAAGGTAAATACAGAACTCCAACCACATATGTTATATATTGATGTGCACAGATACTTATGTCTGAGCAATTATTTACCATACAAGACACACATTTTACCATAAGGAAGCAGGGCCATATTTAATTTTGATCACACTTAGGTCATGGTATTATGGGAATTCAACACCATAGTATTTCTGAAATCATGGTTACTGCCCTGAATGCAAAAGATTGAGCCTATATTATTTCATGCACAAGCAACGCAACGCTGCTAAATAGGGATCAATAGCGATAGTGGTGGTCTAATGGATAGTGAGGTGGGCTGGAGATCGGAAGGTTGTGAGTTCAAATCCCACCTGGAACACCACCACTAGTGCGCCCTTGAGTAAGGCACTTAGCCTTCAGTTACTCCTGGGAGAATGTCCCTGTAATTGGTAATTGTAAGTTGCTTTGGATAAAAGCGTCAGCTAAATGAAATGTAATGTAATGTAACTTACTTAGACATGTGTTGTCAATGTATATTGTTGTACTTACTACTCCTTTGGCTATGTAATCTTTGTTAACATTTAAAAAATGTCTTTGTGTTTTATGTGTGCATTTGTAGAAGGAACTTCCTAAGAAGACAGACTGCCCGCACATGTGTGCCTACAAACTGGTCACTGTCAAATTCAAGTGGTGGGGCCTGCAAAACAAAGTGGAGAGCTTTATTCAAAAGGTTAGTTTTTAGCTCAGGCTGTGGCTCACACCAGTTTATCACTTTTAGTTGATTATAACATCCAGACAGCCACAGGTCAATGTCAGCTACTGAGGAGGGACTGTGTCCGTGCGCCATAGCGTCTCGTATACAGCATACAGTACATACAGTGTGTCACATCTTAGCTTGAGGTTATGGTGGAAAAGTACCACCCATGATGATGCAGATACAAATGGGGCTGCACCAGCCTCTAGTGGATGAACAGGGTAAAGCAGGGAGGACATTAAACATCTGAAAAGTCTGCCTGATTGTATCATTAGGATTTTAAAAGCTTCCTTTCTATAAACAACCAGATGACTTTCTCTTTCTCCCTTTTGTGTTATTTCACAGCAAGAGAAGCGTTTGTTCACTAATTTCCACCGTCAGCTGTTTTGCTGGATCGACAAGTGGATCGACTTGAACATGGAAGACATTCGTCGCATGGAGGAGGAGACACGCAAGGAGCTAGATGAGGTGAACTCAAATGTTAATTTATATAATACAAAATGTATTCAAAGATAGAGTCCTAAAACAGGACCCACTCTGAGGACATGCTCATGTTTGAATATGAATGTGACCTGTCGTTTGTTCTGTGTGCGTCAGATGAGAGTGAAGGACCCAGTGAAAGGGATGGTGGCTCTAGAGGACTGAGGTTGTGTCGGACCGTGAATGCTGCTGCTCATCAGGTGAGAGGAATTTAAAATGTTTTGTGTGTCATCTCTTTGTATCTGAATATGTATTGGACTGTCTGTATATTAGGGATGACAATTACAAGATGTATCTTCCCAGCCTGCCACATTTTGAGTTTAATTGGATTCAACTGACAGGCCTGCAAGTGATATGAGACCATATCATATGCCAAATTAGCACAATAAGTTACATTTATATCAACACAAACAATAAGCGACTCAAATGTACTCAGAATACTTCCTAGCATTCGGAAAACAAAGAGTGGAACAGGCGAGCAAGTGTGCAGGTGTGCGTCATATGAGAGGCCCCGCCTTACATTTTCCGCCACAGATTTGGGGAAATTGGTCCGTGCGCAAAGCATTGTGGGGATTTTAAGACCACGGAGTCTACACATGTGCAGCCTCGAAATTTCTCCAAACGAAGTACGCCGGGCTCGGTAGATTTCCAAGTATGCTGGACATTGGAACAGTACTTCGGCGGCACTCGATGCCGTAGTATGCTTGAAATAGTGGCTCTGAAGCAGCTTTACTCGCGATTGAGAAACACCCACAGACACGCCATGGGGATTTCAAAATAGAGGCCTCTTCAACATGATTATATGTACTGATGTTTGTATTGCATTGATTGTCATTGAATCGTTTCATATAATGATTCAAATCTAGATTTTCTTTTTTAATGATTGATCAATTATCAATGATTTATTCACCTCAGACAGTAGACGGTGTCTCTTGTTTATATTCTTACCTGTTCCTATGTGTTTCAGCCCGGACTACCCAGACACCAGCGGATTCACTTCCTCTTAATATTCCAACTGACACGACACCTGACCGGCCGGTCCACCCCCCCCCCCACACTCCCCTCCCGCTGTACAATCTGGTTTTCAGGGACCTGGACCCAGTAAACTCCCAGTTTTCAGATGATCTCCTCCAACCCATCCCACCTCCCTTGAGTCCCATCCACCTCTTTTTAGTTTTTCCATCCAGTGTCCCCATCTTATTTCCTGCTGAGGCCTCCAGTAGCGACACTATAGATCCTACAGTCCTTCTTCGTTCTTTCTCTGTCACTAAACTGTTCTAAGCTACAGAGGAAATGGTGTCATTTATCTCTGCAATTTAGGATTTGTTTCTACTTTAAATATCCCAATGGTGTATATGTACAGTATGCCGTATATAGGGGAGTTGAATAATTGTATTGAAATATATATATATATAAATATAAATATATATGAACAGGGTTTTTAAAAGGATTTGTCTGTAAGTTTGTCTGAGGATGTTTAGTTTTTCCAGACCAAGCTGTGCTCATTGTTGAGTTCTGATCCTGTGATTTTCTTTCTTTATTGGATGGGGGAGGCGTTTTCATAACACCTCCATCTCTACATTTGTGTCATGCAATGTTTCCTTTTGTTGTCCAAATCAATTTGCAAAGTCCACCAACTGCAGCTGCAAAGTTGGGATTGTGCTGAGAGTGTTATGTAGTCTCTGCTATACTCCTGACCTAATATCTCCTGTAATATGCTGAGGCATTCGTTGGCTTTCCTGCGGCTTTGTGAGTTTGTGGGTGTGTTTGTGTAGCGTTGTAAGGTCATCAAGGTTTTCCTGCCATGTTTTTTTATTTTTTTATCTCATCAGGTCATTCCTAGCTCTGTAGTTTCATCAGGCTGTGCAAACAGAAAATGCAGTAATTCTCACATGCAGTAATGACACACACACACACACACACACACACACACACACACACACACACACACACACACACACACACACACACACACACAGTATACAGGGATAGGAGTAAACATGTTTACTCTGCTAAGTATATGAGTCTTTTTCAACAGATTTCCAAACCTTGTAGTTTCTGAACTCGACATCGTGGCTGTGTTTTTAACATTATGGAAAACAGCTTCTCCTGCTTGCTGTAGATAGATAAATGGTTTTCTGAAAGTTAAACTTGATGTGATCCGCCTCAGTTCAAGCCCTGTCATCCATTCTGTCACCTCCAGTGGATAAATGGTCTTATCCAGCGATAGCAATAACTACCATGAAACGTTGGTCTCTCCTTTTATCACCGCAAATATAATCTTACTCTACTGGTTTTTCCCATCTTGAGAACAGTTTAGTAAACTGAGCCGATGCTGAAAGTCAAGGATGGTTAAGTGATTGGTGAATAATTAAATAAATGCTGGATTTATTGTTTCTCTTTGGATGAGGCAGATTTTTTTTTTTTTCTCCTGCTGGAATCTGAAGCCTGTTACATGTGATAGTGTGGTGTTTCAGTTTATGCATGATGAGTGATGTACAGTAGCGTGTCTTTATGAGATCTGATGCTGGCTGGGTGAAGAAGGGAGGATGTAACGGAGCTAGAGGAGTGATAACAGCAGGCACTAACCTTCTTCCTGTTGTTGACGTCTGTTTGGACTCTTTGTCATCGGTTTCTTTTGTTTTCATCTTTTACCATTGATCTTAAACAGTGTGGGCACCTTTAAAGAGAAAGCAACAG